CGGGTTGATTGGTGTTTTGAGTAATGAATGAAGGTGAATCTCATTCAGTGGTTGGTGGTGATTACGTGGAAATAATGATACTGATTTACATTTGAAAGGCGCATTTCATCCGTAGATCCCAATCCACGTCGTGTATGTGAAGCAGGAACCTGCACGGGAGTTTAACACGGAGGCTTTCGCGACCAATATTATTCATCGTAAACGTCGTTAACTTCTATTGTGAACGTCTGTGGGTTTACTCTCCAGCACGCATCGGCGGTGCTGAAAGTCGTGTACCTCTAAATGGGCACGTGCTGGTCACGTACTGTTCACACCTTGCCAATTGACCGTGTCGGACCGGAGGTGGGTTCACGACACATTCATATTGATGCGTACCCAAACCCAAAGGAGGCCCTTCTTGGTGTGAAGGCTCGTGGTTAGCGGCCAGGAGGGGGCTTTAAAGGCCAATCTTAATTATGGAGCTTTCGTGACTGCAGGAATTATTCTTTGGTTCTTTCGGTTAAGTCACGTCTAAAGATAAAATAATAAATTAAAATAAAAGCATATTACGACGACGGCTTTAAAGGCCATTATGTAAAGGAGGCGAGTGGATTCTCTTGGCCGCCGTGACAATGCTGCCATCTGTTGGTCTCCATCAGTGGCGTGGTAACGACATCATCAGCTCGGGGCGGGGGGAGGGGTGCGGTAATTAATCGGTCAGGGTTGGGTTAGGGGCAATATGAAACATCGTGACTCCTCTTGCCCAATCGCATCATCGCTGTAGGGTCGCTCCGTATTCATGGTGATTGTCAAGAAGGGGACCCAACAACTCGTAGCTTTGGTTAAAGGGGGGGGGGCAAAGTAACCCCTTGCTCCCCCACGCCCATTCCGTGACTGGTCCCCAGCGTCCCCCCCCGCCCCCCGTTGCGGCTTTCTTGCTCTGTGCCAAAAGTGGCGAGTGGGGAGGGGGAGGGCGAGTGCCCCCCACCCACCCCTACACACACTCTAGAGTCCTACCCTCATCACCCCTCTCACCCCTCAGGTGGGCCCTTTCAGAAAGAGGGTGAGGCCTTTAAGAGGTGGGGCCTTTAAGAGGTGGCGGCTGTTCAAAAAGACGTGAAGCCTTTAAGAAAGTGGTGGGGCGTTTAAGAAAGTAGTGACGCCTTTAAGAAAGACATGGCCTTTTAGAAAGAGGTGGGCCCTTTAAATGTTTCACATTACATAGCAGTAGGGGGGGGGTCGGTGATAACACTGGTCAACACAATTTTTCTGGCATAAAGTATTCCAACGGTTTTAATGTAATTTTGGGGTGCTGATTTCAAATCTGGCATCAGTTTTTGCCTATCACATCAGGTTTTTGAGATATAAAATATTGCATTTTCAATAAAAACTGTAGAAGAAAAATAAATTAAATAAATGTGGATATCTACATAAAATTACATTATAAACACACTATCCTAAAAATACAGCACCATATTTTAACACTAAAGCAGTCACTGACTCGCAACAACTTGCAATCATAAGTGACAGAGTTAATTTCGGCTAAAATCAATGAAAATGGGGTATGCCGATAGCATACAAATGAGATGTGATAGAGCAAATCTGAGATCAGATTTGGAATCAGCACCCTGAAATTAGTCTAAAACAGCTGCAAAAGTCCAGGCCAGAAAAAAAAAATTTTTTGTTGTTGACCAGTGTATAATCGAACCGCGTCTCGCCTAAGGCAGGAGTATTCCCACTGCGCCCACCCCTCTCGTGTGTGTGTGTGTGTGGTGTACACACTTGACGATCCATTCTTTACGCGTCACAATAGCGAATGCAATCTCTCCCCGCCACACGCGCGCTCGCTTCCCGAGTTACGGCCAAACAGGCTCCTTCCTTATCGGCCTTTTCCCAGCTCTCTTCCACCCCCACAACCCACCACTTGGGTCTAAATAAAGAACAACAGCCATTAAGACATCGCTCCTGCGGAGACAATGGCACACACACGTGACACGCACACTCGCGCCATGCCCACCTTCACACACACACACACAAAGATAAAGACAAAGGTGCCCCTCCCCACGTGTTAACCTTTAACAAACTGTTGGAGCAAGTGTTGTTTGACAGTAGCCAAACCTATGAAAGCCGCCACGACGCATGAGGATGGCTAAACACTAACGCCCGCCCGGCCGCCTTTGTCTCCCCAGTGCACATGCTGTTTACACGCCGCACCAGGTACTATATGAGGCTGAGTCGACCTAGGGGAGGACCAGGAACGGTTTAGATAAATCAACACTGATGTAAGATTATACGACTATACATATACATTGTGCCAACCCATACAAATACACATGAACATAAATATGCCCCGTATAGCCTCTTCACAGACTGTTGGGGCAAGTGCTGTTTGCGAGCACCTACTAAGGCCTGCGTGGTGCACGAATGGGTGCCTTTGTCTCCCCGGTGCTGATGTTTAAACACTGCCTGCACCCGCTACTTCATTTATGGCCGAGTCAACCTAAAGGAGCCTCAACACTGGTGATGTTATCCGTTTCCGAGAATCGAACTCAGGGGCCACAGGTCCAGTGTGAAAACCACTGGGCCACAGCTTCCTACGTGTATACAGAACAAAGACAAAGGTCCCCCGTATAGCCTGTAACAGACTGGAGGGGCAAGTGCTGTTAGCGAGCAGCTACGAAGGCCGGCACGGCACACGGGGGGGGGGGTAGGTGCCCGAACACCACGCCCGGCCGCCTTTGTCTCGCTAGTGACGATGTTTACACCGCACCGGGTACTAATTTGAGGCTGAGTCGTCCTAGTGGAGGCGCAGGACCGATTCAGATAATCGCTGTCACTGGTGTTGGCCGTGAGTGGGAATCGAACCCGGGTCGCCAGGTTTGTAGCTCAGCACGCTAACTGCTACACTACCGCTACATACAGAACACACACATACAAACCCACATACACACAAACCCACATACACACAAAACCCACACACACACAAAACCCACACACACGCACACACAAACCCACAAACACACACATACCCACAAACACACACATTGAAACCGATACACTATAACCCACACATTTACAAACACAGTCACACACACAAACCCACACATGCACATTCACACACACATTCCATTAAAAAAACACTTTGACAAAAACTAACACGTAAACACAAACACTGCAAGTGCTGCCGTTTGACACCAAGTCGTGGTGATGTCACCACGGCGCTTGTGCCAGGCTAGGTGCACTTTGAGGCCGTCACGTGAAGTGTTGAAGGCCCGCTGCTGGTCATGGGACAGACCCCGCAAGTGCCATGGGCTCACTGACTGAGATGACTGGCAGATGCAGCAGCAGTGCTCCCCAATTGCCAACTCGCACCCATACCCATACAGAAATCCATACCCATACAGAAATCCATAAAGATCCCTCGTAAGCCTTGACATAGAGCGAGCACCTACAAAGGCTGGCTCAGGACATAAGGAGATGGTTGTCCAGCAACACGCTCGACCATTTAGTGGCGATGTTTATGCACCGCACCAGGTACTCATGAGATCGAGTAGACCTAGGGGAGGCCCAGAACCGGTTCAAATAATCGTCAATGTTATTGGCCGTGAGACGGAATCGAACTCGGGTCGCCGGGTGCAAAAGTAGTTCAACTTACACACACAGCACGGTTGGCTACGTACGGTGTGAAAGAAATTCAACACGCACACAGCAGAGGTGGCTACGCACAGTGCGAAATACGTTCAACGTGCATAGCAAGGTTGGTTACATACGGTGTGAAATAAGTTCAACATGCATACACAGCAAGGTTGGCTGCGTGCGGTGTGAAAGAAGTTCAACGTACATACACCCACGCGCCTGCGCCCACCCTAGGCTGGCACGCACCGCACTCTGCCCGCGGCGGTGCACAGAGAGATCTCTGATCTGTAGCGCGCTCGGCACGGCCGCGGCTCACGGCCACTATCGGTGGCACTTCTCGCGAGGAGGGGAGCGTGCTGTGCCGTGCCAGCCGGTCAAGAACATCTTCCCCGGCCACCCGCGAGTGGCGCAGTCGCACGAGGAGGGCAATCGCGGGCAACAACGCGGCGCCCGTTCCACCCGGAGTCACGCTTTGCGAGCGAGCCTCTTGCCTTGCCCGCCTGCCCCCCCCCCCCTTCCCGAGTTCTCATCCTGGTCAAAACAAGAACAAATCAACTTTAACTGAAACTGAACTGCGTGGCGGAGGGTGAACGCCACCGCGTCTCAACGCGCTGTGCAGACACGGCGAGCGTGTTTATATTTTAGACAGAGGCAGTCATACGGCTTTGTGCGAATCTATGGCTCTCTGTGCAAATCTATGGCTCTCTATGTGAGTCTATCCCTCTCTGTGTGAGTCTACGGGTCTCTGTACCTATGCGGGTCTACGGGTTTCTGTGCTAGTCTATGGCTTTCCAAGTCTTTAGCTCTCTGTGTGAATCTATGACTCTCTTTGTTAGTCTACGGGTCTCTGTGCGAGTCTACGGGTCTCCGTGTGAGTCTACGGGTCTCTGTGCGAGTCTACGGGAGGTCTGTGCGAGTTTACGGTCTCTGTGCGAGTCTACGGGTCTCTGTGCGAGTCAACGGGGGGTCTCTGTGCGAGTCTACGGGAGGTTTCTGTGCGAGTCTATGGGCTCTGTGCGAGTCTACGGGTCTCTGTGCGAGTCTACGGTCTCTGTGCGAGTCTATGGGTCTCTGTGCGAGTCTACGGGTCTCCGTGCGAGTCTACGGGTCTCCGTGCGAGTCTACGGGGGGGTCTCTGCGCGAGTCTACGGGTCTCTGTGCGAGTCTACGGATCTCTGCGCGAGTCTACGGGTCTCTGTGCGAGTCTACGGGTCTCTGCGCGAGTCTATGGGTCTCTGTGCGAGTCTACGGGGGGTCTCTGTGCGAGTCTACGGGTCTCCGTGCATGTCCACTCGTCTCTGCGCGAGTCTCTGCAGGTCCATGGGTCTCTCCGAGAGCCTCCGAGTCTCTCAACCCGTCAACCCCCCCCTCCCTCTTCCTCGTAGGGCGCGACCGGCAGAGTCCCGAAGACCCGGCGATGGACTCAGCGGGCTCCCCCCCCCACCACCACCCCCACCCCCTGCGCCGCTACTGCAGCGTGGAGGACCTCGTCTTCGAGAAGAGCCACCTGCCCGAGAACATCGTTCGCTCCGTCTACCTCGTCATCATCGGTGACGACGCCGGTGAGAGCCCCTTGGGCTGGGAGATTTACGGCTCTCCCCATCGCCACCGATCGCCGTCCCGTTTTCGCAGGTCGTTGAAGCGACTTCTGGAATATGGTCTTTATTCGTCTTTCATTACAACACTCCTTCACGCCGCTGACAGGCAGCGTGAGAGGGATAGAAAGAGAAAGACGCGCGCAGCCACGTGGCAGCCTGGACCCCCGCTCTCGCGTGGCCTCTTCCCTTCGTTCGTTCCAGTTCTGACCACGTGTTGTTCGTCTCCACCCCTATTTAATACCCGGGTCACGTGGTACGTTTCCACCAATCCTGGTTAGCCTCTATGGAATCTTCCAGACTCCACCGTAGGCTCCCAGGACCATGCCCCGGACTCGTCTCCCCATTGGATGTGGCTAAAGCCAGCAGAACCAATCCTCTACTTACAGCTGTTGTCACCTTTCCATTACGTCAGGGCCACGCCCCGAGGCTTCCCCCTATTGGCTATGGACCAGGACCGGCAGAGCCAATCATCGTGACGAGTTGTGATCTATCAACGACCCGGATATATCCTCACATTACACCTTCATCCAGCAGTGGATTCCCGAACACTACGATAACGGATGACGATTCGCACCGTTAAACTATTTAAAACATATTCAAATCTTACCACGCAAGGGCTCACCGAGCGACGTACAGCTCTTTTTCAGCAGCGACCTGACTGCCACGGATGACAGCAGCAGCGGAGTGGCTTTATCATCATCACGCGGGAATCTACAGCGGACAGATACTCTGAACGCGTGACGTCGATTCTAAAATGCGGAGGGGGGAAAACCGGAGAATTCGTGGGTCTCCATGTAAAGCTACTGGGCCTCTCTGTAGGTCGGTAGATCTCTGTGCGAGTTCATGGTTCTCCATATGGGTCTCTCCAAGTTGATGGGTCTCCATGGAAGCTCCTTTGGGGTCTCCACGTAAAGTCTATTGGAGGGGGTGAGCGGGGGGGGGGCACTTGGGGGGCTGGGGGACCCTTGGGTGTGACCCCACCCCACCACCACCCCCTTCCCTTCTAGAGATAATGAACAATTGGTGTTTATATTTATCAGAGGAAACGCATTATACTCGTTCTATTGTTGTTCTAATCATTGTTATTATTTGTAGGGTCCTATTTTATTTTTTCAATCTTAAAACTTTGCCCCACTCCCCCCCCCCACTGCCGCATCTCTGAGTGAGCGACATCCGCTTAGGCAAGCTGCCATCGTGCCGATATAGCAGTGAGCAGCGTGATGGACTTGCCATCCACATCATGTTAACACGTCATAGTCGTCGTAGTAGTCGTAATAGTAGTCGTAGTAGTCGTAGTAGCAAGGGGATTTCACGACCAACGTTATCCATGACGAATTTTTTTTGTGGTTATATCGCGTAAATATAAATATGTCGTTAAACCCGCCACAGCCAATCGGTAAGGTTCATCACGGAAAACAAAAAACGTGCCAATTAGTTACTGCTTCAGCACACCGGTTGTGTGTTTGAGAGTAAACCCACGACGTTTATAATTAGAGTACTGTGACATTATTATTAACATCACTATTATCATCACAAAACAGAGGTCTGAGAATAGGTTTTCCCCTTTTTTCTGGCAACAAAACAGCTGTGTCAAAATGTTAAAACACCAAACTGAAACCTTTCACAAGGATTCATGTTTGCATTAACCACAATACTTGTGGTCAGAATGCAAACGAAAAACACACTGATAATATATGCATTAAATTTCGATTTAAAGCTTTCGTGACTGCAGGGATTTATCTTCTGGTTCTTTCGGTAAAGTCACGTAGAAGGGAAATAATAAAATAATAAAAATAAAACATAATAAAATAATATAATATTTATTTTTATTATTTTATACAAATAAAACATAATAAAATAATATTATTTTATTTATTCTTATTATTTTATTATTTCCCTTCTACATGACTTTACCGAAAGAACCAGAAGATGAATATATGCATTGTCTTTGAAACCGATTGGTCCACACCAGAGACGGCTTTCTTTCGAGCCTCGTCTCATACGGCGTTAGACCAGAGGACATCAAAAGGCTAGGCTCAAAAAGAAAGCTATCTCTGGTGTGGACCAATCAGTTTCAAAGACAATGCATATATTATCAGAGTATGTTTTTTGTTTGCATTCTGACCACAAGTATTGTGGTTAATGCAGACAGGATTCCTTGTGAAAGGTTTCCGTTTGGTGTTTTAACACCTCAACACAGCTGTTTTGTTGCCAGAAAAAATGGGAAAACCTATTCTCATATGTTGGTACTGGCAAAGAAGGTCCCATGATTATTATTATTATTATCACAAACCAGAGGTCACCAGTTCGAGTCCATCTCCCGGCGTCGCGGTTGAAGCGAAGGGGGCGAGTTTCCTGACTCCCCCCTGTCCATCGTCCCCCGCACCACCCCACGGCGCCTCTGTCCACACAGCGGAGTAAATGGGTGCACGGCGTTAATCAAATCGGGCAGGTCGAGGGTGGTGGGGGAAAAGTGTGGGTCACGCTCACCTTTTGCGCAGACGTCTGCCCCCCCCCCCCCCCCCCCGGCTTGAATCAAACACCCCCACATCAGAGAGCGACAGTTGTGTTGTCCCGAGGCTGGGTTGGTTTTTTGCCAGAGGAGTAGGTGGTACAGCCCTGGAAGGGGGGTGTTGGTGATGCAGGGTGGAGGAAACAACCAGCTTCTGAATAGAGTTGCCAGTAGAAGCTCTCGGGGGGTGTGGAGCGAAACGTCAGACACGGCGTCGGGCAAACGCGCCGGAGGGTCGGTCGTGACTCGTGCCGCCGCGCTTGCCGTGCAGGTGGTGCCGAGGACGAGACGGCGGAGGCGGAGGAGGCGGGCGAGCGGGACGGTGGCACCGGCCCGGAGCAGGTGACGCGCACGCCACATCTCACTCGCTCTCTGAGACAGGAGACAAACGGCTCTGAGACAGAGAGCGAGAGAATGATTCAGGGACAGAATGATTCAGAGAGATGGAGAATGATTCAGTGGTGCGGGAAACCGCAGGCGAAACGGGAAGTGTGCAGCCAGAACCGGAGACGACAAATTGCCCAAGTTCTGTGGTCCTACGTTGGGATGTTTGGCCAACTCCATTCAGTGTGTGATTATGCGTTTGGGAAGAAACCGCAGCTGTTAATGCAGACTTGATGAAGCCTTGCAAAAGGTGCATCTCATTTAGTGTGTGAACATCTTAACACCCGGAACTGGTCAAAAGGGTCCCATTGATGTGAAAATGATGATTATATGTTGATGTTAATGATAACGATGATACAATGATGTCCCTGCTGCGGATGATAATGATGTTGATGATGCTGATGACGATTCCAGACCACAGCGCGGGACACGGACGAGGCTGACGCAGAGAGACGGAGCGATGGGGGCAAGGGGGGCCCCCGGGGCCCTGGCTACTCCACGCGGAGACAGCGCAGCAAGCACGAGGGAGCACCCCCAAACCCGCCGGACCAGGCCACGGAGCCCCCCACCGATTCACCCGCAAGCCAAACTCCCCCGCCGCTATCTCCATCTCCTCCTCCTCCGTCCATGGGCGAATCGGAGAAACGGACTCATCCTGAATCGGAGCGGAGTTCCGAAATCCGGATCCCGGACTCCATTAAGGACGTCGTCCCGGATGCGGATGCGGCCACTGACGGTGGTGGTGGCGATGGCGTAGACGGAACAGAGGTGGTGGTGGCAGCGGAGGAGCGGCGTGCTCGCACGCACGGCGAGGAGCCGGGGCAGCCGAAGCCCGGCAGCGCCGAGGGCAGGACTCGGCGCGAGCGGGCGGCGCTGCACATTGGCGGAGACGCGCGGCATGCGACGGCGGCCGGAACCGGAACGCAAACCGGAGTGGCAGCCTCACCGTTTAACCGCAACCGGCGCAGCCTTGCCGGCGATGGCTCGCAGGTAAAAATCTGGTGACGTTGGGCACGCAGTCCAACGTGGACACCCATGTGTGTGTGTTTTTTTTTTGCTTTAAACGCAGCCTTTGACGAGCGATATCACGATTCATCATTAGTTTATGTTTGGGTTAGATCGTCGTGTGGGTGTAATGCCAATTTTTTTTGTTATAATTGCCCTCCACCACCCAGCGACAGATGCAATGAAATTTACCTATCGTCCTTGCTCTCCTCCCCAACCATAAAAAAACTAAACTAAACCAGGTCCCCTGAGCTACGTAGCTCTTTTTCAGAAGCGACCTGCCCACAAATGAAAGCCCAACGAAGCGGATTATCATCACGTGGAAATTTATAGCAGGAGCCAAATACTCAACCCACGTCGATTAAAAAAACCGCAGGACCCGGAGAAAACTCCACTCCAGAGAGAGACATGCAAACTCCAAATATACATACTCTTAGTTTTTTCAGTAAAGTCACGTAGGTAAAAAAGAGACTTGTGTTGCCTCCGAAACGTCGTGATTTTGTTATTATTTTATTTCTATTATTACTTTTATTAATTTTAATTTCATTTTTTACCTACGTGACTTTACCGAATCCTTGCAGCCACGAACGCTTCAAATCTAGAATCCAAATATGCAGCAGGCGTCAGGGTCAGGATCGAACCCACGACCTCCCGTATACCAGGCGAGGTAGTTAACATTTCGCCGCCGCCCTTCCCCCCCCGCCCGCTAGACGGACTCGACGCCGTGGGGACCGAGGCTGCGATCGCACGTGGACCCCGACGCCGGCACCGGGGTCGGAGGTCGGAGCGGGCCAGCGCTGCGCAAGGGTCAGCGGTGCCAAGAGGTCAGCCTGGACGCCTGCCTGGAGGCGCGGCTGTTCGCACTGGGCCTGGACCTCACAGCCGAGCCGTACACCGACAAGGCGAGTGGCCGCACCGCCTTGGCGCTCGCAGCGAGGGCCTCCCAAATCCGAACCCCCATAACGTTTAGCTCTCTGTGTCGTTGGTGGTCGGGACAAGGCTGAGAGCATTCTACGCGCGATGCGGCCATCGTGCGACATGCCCACACGCACGCGCGTGCACGGGGGGTGGGTGGCCAACACCACACCTGGCCGCCTTTGTCTCCCAAGCGGCGATGTTTACGCACCGCACCGGGTACTCATTTGAGGCTGAGTCGACCTAGGGGAGGTCGAGGACCGCTACAGTACCGTTACCCACACACGCACACAGACAAAGAAAATACGTAAATCCCCCGTATAGCTTTTACAAACTGTTGGGGCAGTTGCTGTTTGCGAGCATATACACACACACACACACAGGTACATACATACACACGCGCACACTAACGCACATGCGTGTGCCGGTGTGCCCCCCCACCCCTCCCCCCCCGCTCGGGTGTGCGGGCGCAGCGTGGACGAGGGGGCCTGCCTGCGGCGCTCGTGTGGAGACTCGCTGAGGAGGCGAGGGCCACGCCGGCGGAGGTGGCGCCCGCCCTGGAACGAGTGCGGGTTCGACTCCTGAGAGCGGCGAGAGAGGTGGGGGGCCGGCGGGTGATGGGGGGGGGGGTGTGAGGGGGGGTGTGCGGTGGTGTGGTGGTGCAGAGACTGTGCGTAGGGAAGTGCTCAAAAACTTACTGTTGTCACCTAGTAAACACGGGGGCCATCGGACCAAGGTTAGGCTGGCATTGACCCGATGTTGCCATGAGTTTTGCTTTCAAGAGTGTGGCCCATTAATAATTAATTCGCACGATTGGTGTGTGCATTGTAAACATAACAACAATAATCACGATTATCGTGAACAATGTAACTTATTTTTCAGTAAGACATTCTCAGGCAAGAGAACCACCACCTCACCCCTGCATTGACGTCGTGCGAATCAAGATCGAAATGTCCTCCTTATCGTGATCATGATCGTCATCATCATCGCGGTGGCCACAGCCGTTGATGCCGCCACCACCGCCACCACCTCACCTCTGCACCAGCACACGCTCCACCCTCCATCAGATGTAACATATATCATCATCATCAATAACACTGGTCAACACACTTTTTCTGGCATAAGGTATTCCAACGGTTTTAATGTAATTTTGGGGTGCCGATTCCAAATCTGGCATCAGTTTTTGTCTATCACATCAGGTTTTTGAGATATCAAATATTGCATTTTCAATAAAAACTGCAGAAGAAAAATATTAAATAAATGTGGATATCTGCATAAAATGATATTATAAACACACTATCCTAAAAATACAGCACCATATTTTAACACTAAAGCAGTCACTGACTCGCAACAACTTGCAATCATAAGTGAGAGTTAATTTCGGGTAAAATCAATGAAAATGGGATATGCCGATAGCATAAAAATGAGATGTGATAGAGCAAATTTGAGATCAGATTTGGAATCAGCACCCTGAAATTAGTCTAAAACAGCTGCAAAAGTCCAGGCCAGAATTTTTTTTTTTTGTTGACCAGTGTAATCCATGTGCAAAGAGTCCGTAGGTGTCCACTGCACATTGTGTTATTTGTTTCCACTTTCCGTGTGCCAATAATGCTCACGTGGTGGCCACTTCTTTCTCGTCGTCGTAGACACGCCACTCTCTGAGGTCTTCCTCTCTTTCTGGTTTCTTCAATTGTATTCCCCGAACAACAACAACAACAGCAACACAACAACAGCAACACAACAACAAACACAGAGGTGTTTTGGGGTTAGATCGCGCAAATATAAATGTGTCAGTTTAACACGTAGGCTTCCGCGACCAATATCATCCATAATACAGGGAACAGGGGGATTTCTACACAAATCTGGCTGTTGCCTGATGAAGCTGGTTGTAGTTACTGGCGAAACGTCGTACTCAGATTGTAAATGTTGTGGTTTGGCTCTTCAACACACCGGTGTTGCTGTACTAGTGACGAATTGGCCACGTTCTGTTTACGTGACAACCCTTACTAGTTGGCTGTGTTGGGTGGTGGCGGGTTTAATGACACATTTATATATTTACGCGATCTAATCCAAAAGAAAACCTGTATTATTGATGATATTGGTCGCGAAAGCCTACGTGTTAAACAATAACAACAGACTTTTAATTTTCCTGTCGTTATGCATCCTACATTTTCATAAATAATAAAGAAAAAAACCTTTTTTTGCTCTTTCGTACAGATCCCAATCGCCGGCGCGACAGAATCACCGTCGCGTTCGAGGACATCCGACGGCAACTCATGACCAGTTCGCTCCTCCCGCGGCGGCCGGGAGGAAGCGGGCTCCTCGGTTGATTTCGTGAACTCTGGGAAACCTTTGAAGAATTCCGTTCTGGCCTGACGGAAAAGTTCCTCTCCCCCCCCTCCACCTGTCACACGAAGGCCGTGAGGGGGGCGGCGGGATGCGGGGGAGTGGACGGACGCTTGCGGGAACGAGACAGAGTGACGGCGCAGATGCACACGGGGAGCGGGAGATGGGGCAATGGTGGTGGGTCTGGAGGACGGGGGAGGGCGGTGTTCCGAGTGGGGGGAGGGGAGGGGGCCTTCTCATCGACAACCTGTCTACACACACACACGCATGCACGCACACATGCTGACGCTCTCTCTCGCACGAGCGTACACACGCGCACAGACACGTGATACTCTCTCACACACACACACGTACAGTGGCATTTAACGCACGTATGCACGCACTCCTGACAGACACGCGCGCGTACTCTCTCTCACACACACTTTCACGCACAAATATTCTCATAAACACACACGAATGCTCACATGCACGCACACACACGATATCCTCACACACACACAAAAACAAAGATCCCCCATATAGCCTTAACAGACTGTTGGGAACAAGCCGACGCGGCTGCTAATGATGGTGTGGTTTGGCCAGCACCACACCCGTCCGCCTTTGTCTCCCCAGTGGGACTATTTAGACGCTGGACTGCGACTCATTTGAGGCTGAATCGACCCAGCGAAGGATGATCCAGGACCGGTTCAGATATCCGTGGTCGGTGTTGTTGCTCGTGAGCGTGAATCGAGCTCGGGTTCGCCGGGTTCTTAGCGCAGCGCTGCGCTAAGCCACTACAAAGACAAAGATCTCCCGCGTAGCCTTAAAGAGACTGTTCGGGCAAGTGCTACCCTGCCGCTCTGATACACTACGTACGCGCACAATACGTACGAGTGAAGACTACGTACGCATGTATAAATACTACATACGCGCGCGAATACACTACGCACGCGCACACACTACGTGTGCACGCGCACACACTACGTGCGCACGCGAACACACTACGTACGCGCACACACTATGTTCGCACGCGCAAACACTCCGTGCGCGTGCAGACGCAGCAAGTCCGCGAGCCCAGAAGACTCAAGACACTATTTCCGCCCGGCTGTCCGAGGGAGCGGGGCGAGCGCCGCACGGCGTTAACAATGGCGATTGTCAGTGGCAATATGCAATCCTTGTAGATAGGCCTTGACTGGAACGGATCAAGGGGAATTGGGGGGGAAAACTTGAACTGGGTCGACGCGCGCCCGTAGCACCAGCGTCGAGATGGTGCGGGGGGGGGGGGGGTGCGCTGGAGCGGCCGTTCACTCCACCCCGCCCCCCTACAAGACACGTGGCACCGCACAGCAAACTCTCTCGTCGTCGTCGACGGGATGAACAGATTTTGTTTGGTGCTGCTGCTGCGTTGGCTGGAAGTGCACAGTCAACAACAACATTCCACGCGTTCCGTGGTCAATCACAACACCGCTTGTGCGTGTGTGGCCTGTTAAGGGGGAGAAATATTCGGTTGGCCGCGGATCGAGCAATGCTTCTCGTGGATGGGCAACGGCTCTTCTTCACAGTACGTCAGTGACGTTGCCTGAAGAAGGTTCATTGCCCGAAACGTCGCCTACTGCATACGTTTGTTTCCTTCTAAGGCCACACACACACACACGGACGCACGCGGTGGTCTTGATGTTGACACGAGAACGCGTCGAGTTATTTCACGTCGTTGTGTGCCCTGTGTTTGGGCGCAGGACAACGAATATTATTTTGAGGGGTGGCGTGAAATATTATGTTTTTGGGGGGGGGAGGGCCGGGCGTGGGGGCTCAAATTTTTCTTTCTAAACAAATGAAATAATTTTTTTTCTTTCAAAAAAATTAACGCCCAAAATCAAGAGCCACCTCTGCTCTAAGGTTGCCACCGGCTGCTCGCGACGCACAGCGGGTGAAGGCGGAGAGGGCGCCGCGTCAGTGCCCCTGCGTCGGTGATGACAAAAGGGCTGTGACGAAGCCTCCCTTCCCAAGGAGTCTGGAGCAAAGGCGAATCAAAGGATTGGCGTACACAATCACTCTGCTTCTTGGCTCAGCGTCCTGGTGTTTTACCCCCCCACTCCACCTGCCCACCACCTCCCACCCTCGCCACCACCCCACTGGTTATGCGAAAATATTGAAGCGGCATTCCCATGACCTCTGGGTGGTTTTTGCCGGTCCCGGTTCACGACTGGCGTCTGGTGGGTTCTGTTCAGATTCCAGCCGCTAGCGGTGCTGGGCCAGACCCGGTTTTGTTGTGACTCGCAGTGTGGTGGCGGTGGTGGTGGTGGCAGTGGTGGCGGTTGAACACAGTGTGCAGGATGACACCAAACAATCCGTGTGTTCGGCCGGGTCCGCAATGCGGACAAAGGAGGAATCGGCGAGCTGAAGTTCACCGGCGTGGAAAACCACTGTACGTGTTAGGAGAGTGATAAGGGTGATGACTGACCACCGGTGGATCGGCGAGTGCTGGATCATAACAATCACCCCGACTCCCACTTCGAATTCTCTCCGGTACTGCCCTCCACTTTTCCCCCCAGGTCAGGGCAACACGACTCAGACTCGCCCCACCGTCCCCCAGACAGCGCGAGCCCCAGCGCCTGACTATCAGTAGCCAGGAGGCGTAACACGTTCCCCCAAGCAGAAGTGAACGAGCGTTTTCCGAAACGAGTAGTTTTCGGTGGCGAGTTGCGTCATCACATGCACAGCGCATCTCGCATCGCCGCAAAATCCTCAACACACGGAGGCGCGTATATATCTATAAAATACATTGTATATATAGTTTAGTCAATTAACGAGTGTGGGAGGGAGACAGAAGCACCCGGAGAAAACCCACGCGTGTGAGCGAGGGGACAACGCTGTATCCCCGCATTTCGCTGCACCGCCTTTCTCCTGGCGAGCCCAGGGTTACGGCTCATCCTCGACGCCCCCCTCGCCTCCCCACGGGGGTAGGGAGTTTCACAATGTCATCCGTGTGTGATCCACCTACCTTAGCTGCTGCTGCTGCTGCCTCTCCACACAGTGCACTTGTGCACGTGGTTCAAAACTGACTTTGCAAATGAAGGCGGGGGGGGGGGGGGGTGGAAATTATCACTTCAGATGTTTTGATCGCTTCAGATATCTCATCGCTGAAGATGTTTTTATCGCTTTAGAAATGTTATCAACTAAAAATATTTATGCAACCCGACGGGCGATCGACCCCCATCGCAAAACATGTGCGCGCTCTGCTGGATTGTTATGATTCGGGGGGGCGGGGTGGAGTGGGGGGCCAGGGGGGCAGGGCGGGCGGGGGGGGGCTTGTGGATACCAATTCGATTCGAGAATCGCTTCGTTTCTGTCCAGTTCGCACCGTCCTGTTTTGTACCGACAAAGAAACGCGGACTCCCTGTTTCTCTCCATGATGTAACCCTCGGCGGGGGGGCATACCCGCGCGCATACACAATCCGCTCGACCCACCTCGTCTCTGGCTGCCTCTTCTCCAGCGTGTCCCCCCTCCCACCGCCCCCCTCAACCCTCCCCATCGACCCGACCGGACGGGATTTGCGGGGACAGCTTTGGACGTCGGCGGCACGCACACCGGGGCGGCGACGCCAAGGGCCCCGTCGACGGATGCCGCTTGTCGGAGGTTCGCCGTTCGAAATCGGGCGGCACGGGCCACCCGCTTGTGGCCACTAGCGCCAGGTGGTGACCTCTAGCGCCAGGTGGTGACCTCTAGCGCCAGGTGGTGGCCTCTAGCGCCAGGTGGTGGCCACTAGCGCCAGGTGGTGGCCACTAGCGCCAGGTGGTGGCCTCTAGCGCCAGGCGGTGGCCACTAGCGCCAGGCGGTGGCCTCTAGCGCCAGGCGGTGGCCTCTAGACCCAGGTGGTGGTCTCTAGCGCCAGGCGGTGACCTCTAGCGCCAGGCGGTGGCCACTAGCGCCAGGCGGTGGCCACTAGCGCCAGGTGGTGACCTCTAGCACCAGACGGTGGCCTCTAGCGCCAGGCGGTGACCTCTAGCACCAGGTGGTGACCTCTAGCGCCAGGTGGTGGCCACTAGCGCCAGGTGGTGACCTCTAGCGCCAGGTGGTGGCCTCTAGACCCAGGTGGTGGCCACTAGCGCCAGGCGGTGGCCTCTAGCGCCAGGTGGTGACCTCTAGTGCCAGGTGGTGGCCTCTAGACCCAGGTGGTGGCCACTAGACCCAGGTGGTGGCCACTAGCGCCAGGTGGTGGCCTCTAGCGCCAGGTGGTGGCCTCTAGCGCCAGGTGGTGGCCTCCTGCGCGGAGCCGCTTCGATGAACACGCACGCCCGGCCTGGCGCTTTCAACTCGCACCTCCGGATGGTTGAACATCCGTCGCGACGTCACTCTGCCAGGGGTTCAACTTCGTACGACAACGACGACACCACAAAATGCATCAATTCGAATGGCACTGAGGCAATAATCGCCGCCCGTTGTGAAAACTTGGCAGGATCCTCATGGAAAAACGCGCCACGAGACTTGGTGAAACGTTCCCCTCAGAGGTAAATGATTGGGTTGTTGCTGTGAGGTGGTGGTAAGTGATTATTATTTTTTTTTATCTAAAAACCCACGCGCTTTGCGAGCGTTAAGACTCTTTAACGCGTAAAACGCTTCCACCGGTATCGTTCGCCAATTCCATGCAACGGCCCGGTCGCACTTCTTGTCGTACGACCCTCCACCAGCCGACAGAAGCGAACAAATTAAAATTGTTTAAACCACGCGACGATTACTTTCGTTTCAGCTCCGATCACCGGTTAAAGCTGCAGAATAAAATCCTCACGGCCAGATTTAGCAGCGACTGAAGACGCACGGCATTTAGCTGGAAACAGCCCAGGACGTCAGAAATAACATTGTCACCACGGTGAATACCTGGTTTAAATCCGATTGGGTTGTTGCTGTGAGGTAGTGACAACGTATTTAATATTAATAATGTCATTTTATAGAGCGTCATTCGTGCAGTTGCATCCCGCAACGCTGCAACATCAATTCGCCGGTCCCTTACGCGGACAATGAAAAATTTAAACAGACACTTAGCAAATCAAAAACTAAAACGTGAATATAACGAGAAAAAAAATTGCACGTAACAAGAAATTTATCACCATTGGAACCTCATTTGCCAGTAGCAAAATATGATAATTGTTGTTTTGCCCTTTTATCTGGCAACAAAACTGACACCTTTTTTACAAGGAGCCATGTTTGCATTGACCGCAATACCTGCAGTTGAAATGCAAACAAAAAACACAACTCTGATAATGTATGCACTTTCCTTGGAATTGATTGGTCCACACCCGAGACAGCTTTCTTTTTTTGGCGTCATCTGGTCCAACACCATGTGAGACGAGGCTCCAAAAGGCATCATCTGGTCCAACACCATGTGAGACTAGGCTCTAAAGAAAGCTGTCTCGGGTGTGGACCAATCAATTTCAAGGACAGTGCATACATTATCAGAGTTATGTTTTTTGTTTGCATTTCGACTGCAGGTATTGTGGTCAATGCAAACATGACTCCTTATAAAAAAAGGTTGTCAGTTTTGCTGCCAGATAAAAGGGTAAAAAAACAATTATCATATTATTATAAGAAAATTATCCTTCGAGAAATACCAAAAAATCCGTTCGGTCTCCGTTCCCCAGGCCACAGTCCCAACATTTTCCGGATCCGCTTTCAAAAAAAGTTCACATGCACGCATATACACGTATCGTCGTCATCATGAGCCTTGTTCATGCCACTGCTGGATGAACGCCTCTTCCCCCTCGCACCCCACCCCCCCCCAAGCCGACGCCACCTCCCACGATCCAGCAATGCAACAATCCACCTAACTAGCTGCACACGATCCGATTCCATTGCTCCGTCTCCTGACTGTTGGACGTAAATTCCCAATGGACGCATTCCATTCCTTGTTGGCTGCCACTCCGTAATTAGCCTTCGCCATCGGCCACGGTGGCGAGATGTTAACTCCATCGCCTGGTATGCAGGAGGTCGTGGGTTTGATCCAGACCCCGACGACTGTATATTTGGAGTTTGCGTGTCTCTCTCTCTCTCCGTGTGGTCGCGTGGATTTTTCTCAGGGTCCTCCGGTTTTTTCCCCCCACCACATTTAAAGTGAATGTCCGTTTAAAGTATGTGGCTGCTCTAAATGTCCACGTGATGAGCCACTTCGATGAGCTGTTATTTGTGGCCAGGTCGCTTCTGAAAAAGATCTACACAGCTCAGTGGGGCCACTAAAATAAAAAGTAAAAAAAATCATAATCGTCACCACTCGTCTAGCCACGACCCTTCGAGGACTAGACACAGTGAACTTACGTAACAGAAACGTTGAAACTAACAGCTGTTCCAAAATAACAATTCCTCGGTCGCGTTTAAATCATCTCGTATGTTTCGGATATAAAAAGTGACGTTTAATTACGAGAGTTAAGCTATGGCCCTGAGCATTGCGTAACCGCTCCGGCGGTGTCTCTCCGCACCGCCAGTAGGTGTCACTCAACCACAGACTCGGAATAAGTTAATCACCATCATCAACGCTGACCAGTGCCGGATTATCCTAGTAGCACAAGCAGCTACATATGCTACGCCCCCCCCCCCCCCCCCCCGTTTTCAAGGGCCACGCGCTAAATGCTTTCAACCTCTCAATTCCGGTTCAGTGATTCTGCACTTGCTCTATTATTATAGTACTATGCCGCCTTCAACTTTTATACACGACTGGGTGTTTAAGATTTGAAGCTTTCGTGACTGCAAGGATTCATATTCTTAGGTTTTTTCGGTAAAGTCACGTAGGTCCTGAGGACGGAAGCTTGTGTTGCCTCTGAAACGTCGTGATTTTTATTTAATTTTTATTTTACTTTTATTAATTTTAATTTTTTACCTACGTGACTTTACCGAAAAAAACCTAAGAATATGGGTGTTTAAGGTTAGCGATTTGTTGTATTATCTGGTTGTATAGCAAATTAAAAAAACAATTACTTTACTATGAAAGTAAAACATGTGTTGCCAGGTCGCTTGTGAAAAGCATCAAGTGGCTATGCCGGATCATTACGCAGGGCGTAGTTTTAGCCTTTCGGTTTTGGCGTCGAAATGTGGGTCTGGTATTGATTCGAGCGAGTTCGACTCTGCAGGCGAGCCAACGCCGTTGAAGAATCACCATGCACACTCTCAGCGGGGAGGCCGTGTGCGCGTGTGTCTGAAACACTCCCGCAGTTCTTCTTGGTTCTTTCGGTAAAGTCACGTAGAATGGAAATAATAAAATAATGAAAATAAAACATAAAAAAATAATTCTCATGATGTTTCGGCCATAACGCAAGAAGCCGTTGTTGCCGAAACGTCGTGAGAATAATTGTATTATGTTTTATTTTCATTATTTTATTATTTCCATTCTACGTGACTTTACCGAAAGAACCAAGAAGATGAATCCCTGCAGTCACGAAAGCTTTACATCGAAATCTCTCGCAGTTGTTGATGTGGAGAGACGGAGGATTACGTGTTTGGCAACCATAAACTATGTAAAACTTTTTACTTTGAAACTATAGGCTATTTTTTTTATTTGTACCAGGTAAGGCCCCACGGAGCTATGGATATTTTCTTTCAGAAGCGACCTGGTCACACATGTAAGCTCAACGAAGTGGCTCATCGTCACGTGGACCATTTATTGTAGCCAAATACTCCAAACGCACGTTGCTCAACGTGGAGGGGACAAACCGGAGGACTCGGAGAAAAATCCACGCGACTAACGGGAGGAGAGACGCTCAAACTCCAAAAATACAGCAGGCGTCAAGAGTCGGGATCGAACCCACGGCGACCTCCTGTATACCAGGCGAGGTAGTTAACATCTCCTAGCCACCGTGATGATTATGAGAGAGACACGCAAACTCCAAATATACAGCAGCAGGCATCAGCGTCGGGATCGAACCCACGACCTCCTGTATACCAGGCGAGGTAGTTAACATCTCCTAGCCACCGTGATGATGATGAGAGAGACACGCAAACTCCAAATATAGAGCAGCAGGCATCAGGGTTGGGATCGAACCCACGACCTCCTGTATACCAGGCGAGGTAGTTAACATCTCCCAGCCACGTGATGATGATGAGAGAGAGAGAGAGACACGCAAACTCCAAATATACAGCAGCAGGCATCAGGGTTGGGATCGAACCCACGACCTCCTGTATACCAGGCGAGGTAGTTAACATCCCCCAGCCACCGTGGCGCCCGCATCTTTGGTGAGGACGACCACGGCGAGTGGACAGCAGCAGAGCAC